TTTTCAAAGGGAAAATTGCAGTGGCGATCCCAAAGCTTTCAAATTTTTTGAAAACTTTATCATAACCTTTGTTTTGTGCCAAAGGAGGTCCTAAACGTTTCAAAACCTTTATTTTCTCATTAAAAAAATAAAAAAAAAAAAAAAAAAGGAAAAATTGCAATCAGTTTCTCCTTCCTGCCCAGCATCAACAGTGCTGACACGTTGCAAGCACCACTGTCGGCATGTCGCCGGCACCACCGCCTCCTCCCGCAACCGCCGCCGCCGCCGCCACCACCACCACCTTAAATCACAAATGAAGAAAATCACGTTCGACACCCAAAAATGGAACCTAAATCACGGTCATACTCAAACCCATCATCATCACCAGTCTCCTTGAAATTCAGCCCACTCATTCCTGCTGCCAAGGCCTCCAGCACTTGCCAACATAAATGCAAATGGGTATTCTTTTTCAGTCAAGTCCCCAAATGTCTCATTAGAATCGCTTAAGAAATGCATCAAAGCAGTCCCCAGAAAAACCCCACCTGCGAATTGCATCCCAATTACCAAAAAACCCTCGTTCCACTTAATGAAGTAGGGCGAAATTCTCCCCACAAAAGTTCCAACAAACACCAGTACCAGATACCATATTTTCCCCAGAATCAGAGACCGAGATCTCAAGTTGGGCTTATCCGATGGCGAATCGGAATCTCTGCCGTGTGCGGAGGCGGAGACAACGAGGAAGAGAAAAGAGAGTTTTTTCTTTTTCTGACTTTCTTTTAATTGTTTTAATAGATAAATGGCAAAGTTACCATTTTGCCCCTTTTAATTTTTTCAAAATCGGTCAAAATCTATTATTCCTGGTCAACTGGACTGAAATCGTCCATTTGGACTCCAGGTGTGAATTGTTTAAAGGTTTGGTACCGTGGGTGACACAAAACAAAGGTTTGGACGAAATCTGCAAAAATGTGAAAGATTTGGTACCGTGGCTGCAATTTTCCCAAGTTTATTTGCTGAATTAGCAAAACTATTCAAATTTTATTCAATTAAACAATCCATTTCATAAAAAACCAATTATTTGGAGTCTTAGACCAAATGTTATCTACTTGTTTTTCATCTTCCCAACCAAGTATTCGGCTTGAAAATCTCTCCTCGTCTTGTTCAAGAAATGTAGTATTTTGCTTTTGAGATTTTAAAAAAGGAATACCAATTCTGCTTACAATTTACAGATTCTACACCCATGTTGCCATTTGCAAAAGAAGCTTCTAATATTTTTTTTGTCAGTGCTGGTTACAAAAGAGGCTGTGATAGGGATGGTCATAGAGGTGGTGGTGGGTGCTTTCTTTTTGTTTTTGGATGAAGGTGGTACTACTTTTTGCAACCCCGGTGCCCGCGATGGTGCAGTGCCAGAGATTTTCCCCACTTTTTCTTTCCTTCTTCATATTGTCGGCAAATGACTGAATTTTGAATCTTACAGTGATAGTTTGGGGGTAGGGAATGGATTTGCTGCCAATTTTCCCAAATCAAAATGCATCTTCTTCTCGGTGTTCTGTTATGATATGGAATCATGTATTTAAACAGAAAGAATATCAATCTCAATTCCACCATTCTTGTCCATTGATTTATGAATAAGAAGATGAGAAAAGAGACAAAAATCCCTTTTAATCAACACAAGAACAAATGAAAATAAACTCATGGCAGGGGGCGGAGGCAGTGGAGTGAAGAATCAGTGGTGATGGTGGGGTGCCTAAGCCTGGTTGCCTTTTTTTCTTAATCTTTCTTTCCATTTCTTTTTATTTATTTTATTTTTATTCAAATAAAATAAGGTTACAACTCTCATCTCAATAAAATTGTCCTTTTGAGAGTCCTATTGATGGTTTCCATAAAAAAAGATGTCGGTTACAAGTATATTATAGGTTAGGAACCCGAGGTGCTAGAATTAAAGGGTTCAGGATGCCAAGTGCTATTGACCTGAAAAATATTAGGTAATACTGTTCACAATTCACTCCCCCCCGGAACATGAGTTTCTGTAGCATTTCTTAATGATGCATTTGTGTGATTATCAGTTGGGCTGTCTACCTTCTGTCATGTAAGCATTATCTATTTGAATTTATTTTGTTTAATAATATTAGCAAGTATATTTCTTAACTTTTCGATATATGATCACAAATTCATCTTTTAATGTTTTTACGCCTTTGCCTATTTTTCTTATTTTGTGCCCTCTCTGCATGCAAACTAGCCATGAGTTCTTGACAATAGAAATCTTTGCACCTTTGTTGTAAACTTGTTCCATCTCACTCTTATTCTATTACTGTTTTCTGTCATTTGTAATTCTCAATTTGTTTTCATCATGCATCTTTCATCACTCTTATTCTAGTGAGGTTTAAATTAATGTTTGAGAAGTAACTTTTAGCAAAAAAAAGAATGAAACCAAACAGAGGCTTAAAGAGGACAGATCATTTTTTGACTCTTTTGGTATCACTTGTGAGTTGTGAAGTTCACTGTATTGTTATGTAGAAATTCGTCTTTTTGGGGAGAATCACACATCTCAAATCTACTTGGAGATACTAATGTATTGGGGATGGTCTTACAAGATTTATATATTTTGAGATAGGTTGATGTTTTTTTTAAGGAGATTCAGTCCATGAGAACATAAATTTCGTAAATATTTGTTAATTCCTTGGAAAAGATTAGTGGTCCTTGCACTGGGATTTCATGTAGGCTTATTTAGTTATAGGCATTACAGAACATCGTCGGTTGCATTGTGCCATCTTGCTCCTCTTCTAAAATCTTGATTCTGATTTTCTTTTGAAGGCAACCATTTGTAGGATGAGACCATGTTTTCTGCAATTTGAGAAAATGTGTTTAGACATTATTTACGTTGGGTAGGTTTATTACTGCACAGTCCAATGGTTCCCTGTCCCTTGACCTCAGCATTTTCAAATCTTCGGCCACCTTCATGTTTTTCGGCAACTTATCATCTTTTGTATAGAATGGTGGGACTGAGAGTACATTTGGTTTGAGGTAAGTTAATGAGAAGTGGACCACTCTTCTATGTTCATTTGTTGTCTCTCTCGGGATGTGTTTTTCCTTCTGTTTTTGTGTTCCAGTGGAGTGTGGGTGGAGAAGAAAAAAGATCTGAAGAATGCTTGGTTACTTCCTGTTTCATGATCAGAACAACTAAAAATCTGTTGCATTTTTTTGACTCTCAGTACTTGGTGATTGTGTTTATGAAGTATCTACTTGTTCTTGTGTATAAGTTACTTAGAAATGTTTGGAGACTGCATCCTGCCCCCTTCTCTGATTCGTATGCAAGTTTTTTTGTACTCACTAACAAATTAAACCCATGTTTGGCTCAAATTAAAATCTGATTTTAATCTCAAGTCAATGTCAACAATTAATTTTAACCACGCATTTCATGGGGTCCACAACTTTTCAACTATATATTTCATCAACTTTTATCAAAATCTACTAAAAATCTGATTTTAATCTATATCAAACTGGGCTAAATATAATGAGCCACAGTTCTTGTACATGACCTGCCTGTATGACTGTTGCCAATTCACATGAAGAAACGTGTCAATATTCACCTTTCCATGTAATCATCATTTTTTTTAGCTCAAGTTTATTTGAGTGCCCTTCATATTTTGCTCTTTCTTTTAATGAAAATTTGACATCTGTAAATTTTGTTCGGGCACGAATCATCTAAGCCATTTCTAAATTGCTAGTAAAGATTCTGATGATTTCTTCTTTTTCTTTTCATTGGAAAATAGTGCTATGTTGGAAGTTTGTCGTTGGCATGGTTATTAGTTTCCACACATCAGTTTTGGTTTGTGGGCATCCACCGTTTATTTATTGTATTGTGCATCTTTAACTCTATATGTCCTTTTACAGTCAACAGCGTGCTTTTGCGGTTCAAGTGTTTGAGTTGCATCGACTAATAAAGGTGAGAGCAGCTATTCAGTTTCATGTAGCTTTAATCGTTGCCTTTGACCTTCTTTTCTAATTTCTTGTGTTACCCGTGATTTGGTTTATGAAAATTAGCCTTCATAATAGTTCTTGTTATTATCAGGTTCAGAGATTGATTGCCACGTCGCCACATCTTTTGCTTGAGGACACCGCTTATTTGGACAAACCCATGAAGATTTCTCCTGCGAAGAAACTTCCATTAGATTATATTGCTAAAGTGCCTCCAAATATTTCCAAGCGCAAAAGCAACTCCGAGAAGCCAAATACCGAGATTGAATGCTCTGCTGAGAATACCGTAGGAAAGACAACTCTTTCTTCCATGCAAAATGGTAGCCAGCCGTTGACTTGCTGGCCATTTTTGGGAAATCCTCTATCACCAGCTGCAAGTGGTGACCATAATTCTGAACCGTGGTATTTTAATCAGGCACAGGGGCACCAGTGGTTGATACCTGTGATGTCTCCTTCTGAAGGACTAGTATACAAGCCATGCCCTCGACCGGGATTTATGGGTCCTGTCTGTGGACCTCCAGGATTGGCTCCATGGATGAGTAGTTTCTTGACTCCCGGATATGGAGTTCCTGCGTCAAATCATCAGTATCAAGTGCCATCCTTCCCTCCAGCCGGGCCTCAAGGTTACTTTCCAACTTATGGCATGCCAATCACTAATCCAGCCTTCTCAGGTTCATCTGTTGAACACACGAACCACTTCAACGTTCAACATCAGAACTCGTGCAATATGCTGAGACAGATGAACGAAGCCGTTCCCAATGTTATAAAGCTGCATGCAGCTAAGAATAATGAACTACAGACGAGCACAGCCAGCAGTCCAACTGATAGACCACAGTGCAGTCGAGAAGGACACGCCATGGTAGGAACAAATGCATTTCAACTTTTCACCTCATCTCCTGTCAACGTCCCTGATTGTAACATTCAGTCTCCCGAACCTGAATCCCCTGCTCGGGCAATCAAGGTTGTGCCTCGTAATGCCAGATCAGCAACGGAATCTGCTGCTCGAATTTTTCAGTCTATACAAGAAGAGAGGAAACGGTGTGAATCGTCAGCCGGTCCTGCTCGTTCACATTGATCTGTTTTATTGAAATTAAAGTTTCATTTACTATACTGTTCTGACAGTTCAATCTTGTTGAATACTATGTACTAGCGGTACACTTGGTGTTTCGGTTCCCATTATGCCTTTAAATATTCAGTAAAATTTTATTTTTATATTTTCGTCTCATAACAAGCAATAATCGCAACTTTCAATTTCATAAATTTATTGTCATTTGTATTCTTATAATACGAATGTCATTAGCAGTTTATTTGATACTTGTACTAAAAATCTAATGTAACTAGTCGCGACCGTAACATTTCATGTTTTTTGGATTTTACCGAAACTCGAACTTAGGTTAATGTGAATGTTCAAGCTTATGACTTGAGCTAGGTCTCGGTTTCATCATATTTCATGTTAATTTCACTTTAGTTATATGTTTTCAAATTTTATAAAATATAAGTTTCTTTTAAAAAAATACGCCAGCTATTTAAATCACATTTCTATTAATTTATTCACATATTGATACAACATATACCAATTTATTCATAAATTGATACTACATATACCATCTATACATATTTTAATATGTTGTATTGTTTATTATTTCATGGCCTCGTCTAATTGTCTAAATATCTTTACGTTTGCCATGTTCATATGAATATATAATCGCTTATTTTCTCTTTATACTTAGCAAATAGTTTTATTGGCACATAACATGTTTGCATGTGGTTAGAAGTTACTTTTTAAAAAGTAAAATAAGACTTATAAATATATATATTTTAACCATAGAGAAATAAATTTAATTATCATATTTACAAATTAAGTAAAATTAAGGTATAATAACAGTCGTGATAATTTTTACCCTAATATTTCATTTGTTGTGGCTCCGATCCCAAATTTTTTATTTCTTCGTAATCGAAGGAGACATGGATGGACTTCGTCCAAATGTCCGTTAGTTGATCAAAAGTCTGACCATATTTTGAATAATTTAAAAAAGGAAAAATACTAAGTTTATATTTTTCATATAAAATAATTAAATAAATGATCAAAATAAATAAATAAAATAAAAGAAACTTCAACCTCTTCCCCCACCACCCCCGCCACAGTCCACACCATAACCAAACCCATCCAACCAGAAGCATTTCCCCAAGGAATCTGCTTTTTTCACGGAGGATGAAATTCAAGTCGATCAAATTTTGCATGATTTTGATAAATTGGTCGAAATTTTTGTAACTACTAAAACCTAGTTAATTAATCAATTTATTTCAATTATTCGTATAAGTCAAAAGACGTCAGTCAATTCGAACTTCCTACAGACAATTTTAAGCACAGTTCTCATTGTGACGGTTTAAAAGATTTGTGTTCTACAATGTGTAATCTATTGCGTAATAAAATAAAGATGACACCAGATATAACTTGCTAAACCCCTAAGAAAAAAAATCTATAGGTAAAATAACCAACCATCAAAGAATAAAAAATACAATAGTTTTGATTTAGTAATTTTGCAAAATTAACTAAAACAATCAAAAGCAAATAAAGAATAACTCCCTCGTTTCCTTATTCATTTTGACTTGTTGGAGAAGTGAAATCAAACCCTCCGGTCTTGACTTTATTGCCACTTCACTATTATTCGACCGCAACCACCACTTGAATGAAAATTCACCAATCTTAACTCGCGCCAAGTAGTCTGATCTTTTGAGTATGATTATATCATTCACGCACGTGTTTGTTCTCTTTAATTACAATTGAAGAAAGACGGGTTTTGTTTTGAGATACTTCACTGGAACATCAGCCGGTCAGAACTCACTAGAAATGGTCAGAAGATTTTAGAACTTGCTGCTGCAGGTTCGCCAGACATAGACAGATTTTTCTCAAAGCCTCTCCCTACGTCTCTTAATGATTTTCTTTACTTATGTAAAGACTCCTCCAAGACGTGAACATGTCTCGTCAAAAATGTGGAAGTTTTGTACGATAAAAATAATATATGATATGTTTGATATGATCAATAATTAAATTAAGGAAAATTTTAATTTGTTAAAATAATCTTTCTTTCTTTTAATTATTTGATCAATCAAACTAGTCTATAAGATAAATATATATTTTTTATATACGTATAAAATATGTTTGATATGATCAATAATTAAATTAAAGAAAGTTTTGATTTGTTAAAACGATTTTTATTCTTTTAATTATTTGACCAATCAAATCCATCCAAGATGATAAG